CGCCCCGTGCGATAAATTCGAGTTCACCGATAAAGAACAATTTAACGGTCTTGCCAGCGACACGAAAAACGCCTACCCTGATAACGAACGAGTGTTCCTCGCAGCTCCGACTAATCGCGCGCCGCTACCCGAGGAAGATTAGATCGCGTCCTTAGGATGTCCTTAAAGATGATTCGAGACCAAGAAGAGAGACGGGACTTGAACGGGAATTGTGCTGCTTGAGATAGAAAAATTTAAGGCTTTTTCGAGAAGAGTTATCGGAGGACGAGATACGCTGGGTATCAGCAGAATTGAAATGTTGATTAGGAGCAGTGAAAGGAATTTGACTATCGCAGATGGGAACAATCGGTTTGTCAGTCAGGAAGTAACGCACTGCTCGTTATGTCCCTGGTATATACGTAAGCACCTTGAAAAACTTCGTTGGAAAGTTCAGAGCGTTAAGCGGCCATAAGGCGGATACGTAACTGGACGCAACGTTGCCAGAAATGAATTTTCATGTGAATTGTTGATGGGGGCAAAAATAGATTTAAGAAAATCAAGATACTAGAATGTCACGCTAGGTACCAGGTACGAATAGAGGGAGAAAAGGTGGGGAAGATGTATTTTGAGTTTTCAGGTAAACCGAAAAATATTTTCGCTTTGTCGAGAACTCTTTTTCTAGGATTTTCTATAGAACTATCCATTCAGTCAAGAATACTTTCTGAGGGAAGATATAGGGATACCTCCTTTAGTTATTTTTACGTTTTAAGAATCGCGACAAATTTTCGGGTCGGAAAACAAAAATGCATGGTGAGGGCTGCCGGTCGCGTGGTAAAAATGATTGGCAACACTGGGACTCGAGTAAGGGGGTTAAGAGCGAAAGCGATGTTGGCAATGCAAGACAGACGCTTCTTGGCTTAACACATCGTCACACCTGACGTCACACACTCGTTAGGGGGCAGATGGGCCCCCTCTCAACCGTGACGTGGGGCCCTGAAGGCACGAAGGGACTGATGGGGGTACTTGGCGGTGTCTAGCCAAGGGGTCCGTGGGCACCCCATAAGGTGAAATAAAATAAAATAAAACTCCTGCGACGTGCGGTGGCTTGCAAGGGGACTGGGGGTGATGGGGAAGACGGAGTCGGGGCCCGGGGAATCGAGAAGGGGCCCAAGCCAAGGGGGCTCACACACGCACAGCTGCCCAGGTAGCACGAGCTACTTCGATATTAGAGACTAAACTGCCATGGGGGAGCATGGTACCCCATTGAAATACTTGCTCGGGGAGGAACTCGGCTGCCTTCCTATGGCAACTGGCGACATGGAGCAAAGCACTGAGAATGGCACTGGGGTGATCGGGAGGGTGGAGAAATCGTATATAGAATTAAAAAAAAAATAAATAAAAATTCGACTCGAAATCCTAACCAATCAGGACACCCGATATCTAATCGATCGAACTCCATCCATTCAATTCCCATTGAAGGGACACTTGGACTCTATTAATGTCACGCTTCTCCTGGGGACTCTGTAGTGTATTTCCGTAATCTAATGATAATCGACGTGGAGTCTTTCGAGGACTCGTGCCCTCCTTTTAATTAAGAACTGCGAGATCGAGTGAGTAATTTAATTTCTGAACAATGATTAGACTCGAGATGTCATTAGAGTTATCTGTGTTGGAGATTTTCAATCTCACAAGTTATTCTCGCTTATCGATTTGGAATGTCCGAGTATCGCTTAAATATTGTATATAAAAAAATTATAAAAATTTGACCAACCCTGTATATGCTGTTTATATCGAATGCTCGTAACTTTGCTCCTTTTCAAAGATATACAAGCGTAAGTAAGCTATTTATTGTATATACCTCCTTTAAGCAACACGAGTCCTACTACGAAGACAGGAGTTTCAGCAGTGTCTGAATTTTTCGAAAAAAAAAATTCAAAAGCGGTTTACAAAGTCTGATGATAAAGAAAGAAAAGTATATCCGTCAAGTAATTGTCGTTTGGTTGAAAATTTACAGCAGCTCACTAAAAGCGCAATGGCCTATCCTCCCGGTATTGTAACACGCGCGTGAAAAGTGGCTGACCGACGTCCCCACTAAGCATCCCTTAAACGGCTCTTAAGCATCCGTTAAACCTATATAGCCAGGGAGTCGATAACGAAGGACCAAAGGGACTTTTCACGCCTATGGTGAAAAAAGAAAACGGCCTATTTGTCGCTTGTAAATCCTTGCTAATTCGCAGCACGAGACTTCCGGTGGTTCGTGGGCGTGTAAGGGCGGTTTGTATGGGAAACACCATGGTACGAGAGCACCATGGAACGCCATGAAATGACACGAGTCTCTACGTACCGTTTCTTCGGGATCCTCGGCACGCGCGACTATCCAAGAAAAATTCGAACTAAATCCATCCTATTTGAATATGAAAAAAATTGACGAAACTCGTGGCAGCTGATTCCCTTTCTTCTTCTATTATTACTCGGGGATGGGCTCTTTGCGCTAACTGTTAAGTACATCGAGCACGTACGCGAACATACATGGATGCATACATGGGTCGGGCGGGTCCTCTACTGGTTTCAACTAAAGAGCCGCAAAAGCGGTGATTGCTGTTTAGCGTTTTAACAACTTTTTTATCCGCGGCAATGGCTGAGCCACTCAACGAACCCGGCAAACAGAAACAGCTTAATCTGCCACTCGTGCGTGAACGTATTTTTTTACTGCGTCCCGTAGATCCCCCTCCCGCCCCCTTCACCATCCCGCTACGCCCACTACAAAGGAACCAACTTTGATCCAGATTTTGAGGTATTTCGGGTGGTCGCGAATGGCTGCGTGCCCACTTCCATGCGCGCACGTGTAAAAAAAAGGCTGGGCTGTGTACAATGAGAGAGACAAACAGAGAAAGAGATAAGCATAATGATAAGAGAGAGGGAGAGAGAGGGAACGAGAGAGGCTAGGCATGAATAATTGGTTGCATGTATATTGTACATAGAACCATCGTGCAAGAGTGAGAGAAAGAGGAAAAAAGCACTAACTAATATATATATATATATATATATATATGTATATATATATATATATGAAGAGATAAAGAGGAGGGACGGGGTGGCGGATGCTCTCGATGGTACCGGGTAGCCCCATGTGTACGTTTTTTGCCGAAGTGAAGGGGAGGAGAGGATTTTCCAATTTGGATCGTGGCATATTGACGGCTTCGCGGGCCTCTCCTCGATATCCGGCCCAAATTTCGAGGCTCTCCTCTCTAACGGGAGATTAAAAATAACAAATGGCAGTTCCCAGTTTCCTCCTTCGTTTCTATGCTAGTTGCTCTCTTTCTCTCTTTCTCTCTCTCTCTCTCTCTCTCTGTTGCACAATGATTCTGCACCCTCTGTTCCACGCGTGCACCCTGTGGGCTGGTATCGTCTCCGCCAACCCAAAAGATAGACGCACAATGACTTCGCAACATATGTCGAGTGATGCTTCGCAGTCCCGCATCAAGATCCGTTATTATCGGCGCGGGACGCACGCGCGACTCAGTGAAAAACTTTTGTTCTGTATTTTGAGAAAAGAAAAACCCTCAACAAGTCACAGGACCATACTTCCGAGTTCGCGTATTTTACTAAATTTCTAGAGCACGTGGGTGGCTCCGAGGCCCTTCCCGGTATACATCAACTTTCTTCGAGCCATCTGCTGGGCCTCTTTTCGGGCCCTTTAAACCAGCCCAAGACACCCGCAGCCACGTCTACACTCACACTCGTAGGAATACACGTGTACCTTCGAGACCTGTCAGAGCCAAGGACCCGTAAACGCTCGCCCTTTAAAGTCCCAAGATGCACCCCAAGGCCCTTTTCTTCCCTATTCCTTAATCTTTTAGGGTCGTCCTAAATCGTAAACTCATCCTCGCTATCTTTCTTAATGAGATTATCCAATATAACATTAATCAGCCGTTTCGAAGGTTATCGATCCTCCTTGGGAATTTGTCTTTTGTATCGCTTGGTGGGCTACTGCCGAAGGGTGGTGGGTAAGGGGGGTTAGGTAAAGCGAAATACAAGGGACGATGGTTGATGCAGAATGAGGGTGAGTAGTGGGGAGTCTTGGGGCGAATCGGTAAATTAAAAAAAACTGCAACTCTAGATGCATCGCCAAGCATTTCTGACCCGTATCCCTCGTAATTCTCGGCCCTCTTTATCTTACCCC